TGCATGCATGACTGCGTGTATGTGTGTGTGTGCGCGCTTCCTTGTGCAGGCCTCAATCATTACAAACAAACACAAACACTCATAATGTGTTGACTTCGTCTGACGATGATGATAATGATGATGATGATGATGATGCAAGTCATGTTTTAAATCAGTTTCTCACAAAGCTGATAGACGTTAAATAAAGAGGAAAACAAAGACTGCAGTTTACTCCTGATTTTGCAATTAGCACGGTGAGGAAAAAACAACCCACACCCAATGAAGTCACTGACGTCCTTAACGAATGTCTCCACTGCGACTGTGACTTTTACCATAACTTTTAACCTCTTTTATTGAAGAAGAATGAGTTTAGATCATGTTTTTGTTGTCTTTTCTGAATAAAAGAATGAGTTTTAGAGAAAAAACGAAAGAAAATCTAGCCTGTAGTCGTCAATGTGACTCAGAAGTCAAATTCCTCAGCTGCAAATAGCAAAGCCCTCAGTCTCATCCAGCCGCGGATGTTATTTTAATACATGGGGACACCTCTTTTTGATTCAAGCCATCTTTTATGCCATGCAACCGTCTCTTAACACCGGCACACACTTCAGAGATTCTCCATATGGCACCTGCACTGACGGCGTCCTGAAAGCATCCCGAGGCTGAACGATGGTTCGTCTGCCATCTGCACCGGCCAGACGGCTAATGAGATTTTAATTATCTGCCCACTGAACGACAAAAAACGCCCGCTGGAATCTGTGGAGGCCGCCAAAGTCCAAGAGAGGAGAGGCAGGATCTGTTCCTCATAAACCTAATAAACTGCTGTGTGGTGATACAGAACGTCTAATAAAAGATCATCAAACTTATTAGTAGTAAAAAAGGTCTGTTCGTTAGTTGATTTCTGAGTCTTAAACAAGGATTTGTCACTTTTCTCTGTCTCATATCATCGTAAACTGAAGATTTTTGTGGGGTTTTGGACTATTGATAGGAATTGTATTCATATGGAGTCATTTTAAGTCTCCAGGCCTGTAAAAAGAAAAAAGCCTTTCAATAAAAAGATCTGAGGCGGAAAACTCCACTGAACTGCTCACAACTCGTGTCCACACTGAGGACATAAACTATAACGAGGACGTATGTAGATGCTCCAGAGCAATGAGTCACATTCACAAATCTAAAGGTATTTAAATCAGTCGTTATCAGACGGGTTCAGTGGGGGGGATCTTGTGCATCCCGAAGACAATGATGGACTGATTGATTGAAACTCAGTTTAACATTGGAGAGGGAAATACTGCATTACTTCCTCCAAAATCCCAATTTGCATTAAAGCTGTAGTTACTGTTTATCTTTCAGTTTAAGATCTTGTATGATGCATTGTCATAGATTTAAACATACAGTTAACATTAGCTCCACCTCGCTAACAATAAAATGTCTTTTTACATTCCCCCAATGTACCAAAACACAACTTATCTTACACAAAGTACTTGTATTAATGTGCTGCAGCCTACTTCAGTACTTTGAGGTATTTAACTTGAATTTTTCCATTTTGTACTCCTTTTTACTGCACTACATTTATGTGACAGCTTTAGTTATGCTGCAGATTATGAATACAAAATATACATAAACTAATAAATGATGGTATATTTGTATAGTTTACATACAGTAATTAAATACTTTTCAATTATTTAACATAATATACATCCTGAAATGGGCCATATTTGATATTTTGATGTTAATACTTATGTATGTATATGTAATTTTGCTGTAAGGACTATTTTTTTGACACAGTTTTGCCACTTTTACTCAAATAAAACATCCGAATACTTCTTCCAGCACCATCTATCTATTGGAAACTTTGAGCAAAAAACACTGGGAGAAGTCCTGCTGTCACTGGATCTCTGCCTGTCTGTCTGTCTGTAGGGACGACCCACCCACCGGCCGGTGAACTGCATGACTCGCGGCAGTGTGCGCAGAGGGACCTGCCGCTCCACTGCCCACCGTTAACGCACTCCACGCGTCAAAACGCACCAATGACTCACGTTTAATGCACACACTCCCGCATGCGCCTCACGCACCGCTTTATGAACGGAAGGTTTATACTCACAGATATTTCCTGGTGATGCGGCTCTCTCTCTCTCTGTGTGTGTGTGTGTGTGTTCCTCTTCCAGCTATCGGAACCCGTTCAGAGGAGAGGAGGCTGTGTTCTGTGGAGGTCTGGTTCGGTTCTGTTGCCTCTCAGTCAGACATTACGCAGCTTTTGTTCCGCGCTTTTTATCCGTTTTCTGTCGTACATGTGCTACGCAAAACCTCCAGCTGCCGCTCAGCTCTGCACACAGATTATATACCGCTACAGAGCAGCCCGGCCCGCCAGCCAATCAGCAGAGACCCTGTTCCCGGCACCCTGCCTCCGCACCCTCCCCTTACCCTCCCCTTACCCCTTACCCTCCCTCACCCGAGCTGTCGTAACGAACAAAGATCCTGGCACGAGGATGACGTGATGGACGTGGCTGACCAGAAATGAAATGAAATGAAATGAATAGATACATACGAGATCAAACTTTTGATGAAAAAAAAAAGAATTAATAAAAAAAGGAGATCAAACTTTTAATGGGAATTTTTTTTTAAATTAGATTAAATTACATAAATTGATAAATACGAGATCAAACTGTAAATAAAATATAAATTAATACATTAAAAAAGAGAGAACAAACTGTTAAAAAATCTAATTTAATTAAATAAATAGATCATATATAATAATATACGAGATCAAATATTAAAACTGTTCATAAAAAAAATGTTGAGAAACAGTTGATGTAAATTGTACGTTTTGTGATATTTATAGGTATTTATTTAGGTCTTGCCCGCATATAAAACAACTGTGGAGTAACAAGTTATTTCTGATTCTATCTACCCTCACATTGTTATTATTTTGAACAAATTATATATTCACAATTAAACATTTTTAAACAAAAAGCCAAACTTCTCAGAGCTCAATATCCATATCAGACAATACATTTCTCCTATATCTGAATGTAGAAACAAAAAGGCTGTTAAAGCGTTCAACGATTGTAAGCTTGACACAGTATTTATTGATTGAACTCTTTATTATTTATTTTTTGTGATTATAAACTCAAGCTCAACTTCCAGTTCAGCAAAAAAAGAAAGAGAGATATCAAACAGGGTCAGAGTTGAGAGCGAGAACAACCTCCTTTTCCAACAAAAGGAATCAGAGCATGTTACATAACTCTCATGCAGTGGTAGAAGTACTGTACTTACAATGGAGGAACTTTTACTTCTATTCTACTATTTCGGAGGGAAATATTGTACATTTTACTCATTTATTATATAGCTGTGGTTACTTTAGATTAAGATTAGTTATACACAATATAATTAACTATTATATATATATATATATACCTAGCCATATATATATGTTAAAATAAGCCCACCTTTAACAGGCGTAACATTAAATTGAAGCTTACACATAAATGCATCAATAATTAGAATTAAATTATAGGCCGATATATTACTCTAAAATGTGCCAGTCTGCATTATGAGTACTTTTTTTGGTGGGGGAAGTCCGATAGGTGTGACTGGATCTGTAACAAGTCTGTCTTTCTGTCAAACAAACAAACAGGAAAACAAACACAGGTAAAGGTATGTTAAAGGCATCGGTTCAACATGTCGGTGTGAAAACATTAAGCGACTTCAAGTCATGACATGTATATTTTGGAGTCGATGCACACCCTCTGTAACCAAACCAATCAAAAACCACTACTTTAAAAAGGAGGCACGAACATTATTTGCTCCATCACTAGGATGGATCCAAAAACAAACGGGTCGGTTCAGTTCAGTAACCGTCATCCACACAGACGACTTCTTCCAATATGGCTGCCGGAGGTGTGTTACATAATTTAACGGCACATTCATGACTGTGCATTTCTGTGTTAGGTAATGTGCTGCAAAGTCATGTAGCAGTGATTAACCTTTGTCATTATTATCCCGTTTATATTGATAATAAACATGTTGTAATAAGTCTGTGTGGTGTGTTTATATAGTTTAACAACATGATTACTATGACTTATGTTAGCTGAACTGACTTAAACCAGTGGTTCCCAACCTTTTTCTAAAGGAAACCCTTTCCTATCACTGACGACCCCTGACTAACACACTTATTTTATGGATATTTTGGATTTGGATGAATTTGGTGAAGATTATTTTCGGTAAATATTTAATCAGAGATGAGTTTTCCTAATAATTTTAGTAAACTTTTTATATAATTCTCTCTCTTTTCCCTGCCACACAATTGTTCTATTGATTTTATTCACAGCGATGAATGAATTGCTTACATAAAGGCCTAATGTGTATATTTTTAAACTGTTCTCACACCCTTTAATATCAAGAAGGCCTCACAAATACAATGTCCTTTTTTATTATATTTTGGTGCCAGTGGCAGTGTCTGGAAATGTAAGCAGAGTGGGAGCTCTTGTTTTTTCCCCTCTCTCTGATGGCCAGACTGTCCCTGAGGCAGAGCCCTGTATAATAAGAGTTGGGTCAACTTTCTAGAAACCTCTTTCTGTTAATGTCATTTAAGCTCAAAGTTTGTCCAGTTATATCTTGATTTATTTACGTATAATTTCAACCAATGCAAGCGGCTCGGCTCTACAGAAAACTACTTTGGTCCAGACGGAAATATCTCAACTGTGGCGACCAGTGAAATGTCTCAACATCTAACTATTGGATTAACTGCTTTGAAACATACAGATATTAATGTTCCCCTCTGGATGAATCGTTCTGTT